ATATGGTAAGAAACAGGGAGGCATACTTTTTGGAGATGGGGAAAATAATTGAGAAAGGGAAAAAGAAGGGTGGGAGGGTAAACTGAAAAGTGATTATATATTTTTTTCTCTAAAATGAATGTAATTTATGTTTTGCAGACAAACATTAATTTTTGAGAAGGGACAAAATAGTGGTGGGAGGAATTGGAGACTGAATGATTTAGGACAGGATGATGACCTATATCGGAACAGTAGGAATGAAAGAGAAAGCAGAGTGGTGACTCGGAAGTTGACTAGCCCTTGACTAGGGAATGAGGGGAGTGCATATTTGTACATATAGACAATAATGATAAAATTCAGTACATATTAGTCAGGTTGCCCTAACAAAATGCCACCAGCTGAGTGGCTTAAACAGTACAAATGAACTGGCCCACAGTTCTGGAGGCTGAACGTCCAAGATCAACATTTTGGCCAATGCAGTTTCTCGTGAGGGTTTTCTTCCTGGCTTGCAGATAGCTACCTTATTCATATTTTTCACTGGCTCTTCTTTGAGCAAAACTTTACTTAGGCTCCTTCGAGTCCTGTAACTCAATGCTGAGTACACTTTGAGGGAGTAAAATAAAGAAGACTGAATGCAAAATAGGAGATAGAAGATATTGGGGTGTAGGGGGAGAACCTCATCTCCAGCCCCTCTTATCTGTTAATACCCGTTCACTTGTATATGCGCTTGGCCAGACAAAGAGCATAATTAAACCATTCCTTGGGATATATTTGCAGTAAGGAGACGGCTTGGTAACACTTTCTGTTCCAGGAGTTTGCTTTATATCACCTGAGAGAAAGACTAAGATGGAGGTAGAGCAGAGTTGGAAGGCCTACGCCACAAGTCATAAGCACCTAGGCTCCTGATGACTCTTAATTCTAGATTTAAAGGCCATGAGAAATAACGTTTTGGGCTTTGCTTATTAGGTGTTCGGTTGACTGAAGTAGATAAAAAAAAAAAAACTTACTACATTTCTAATAGAAACGTAGAGTCAGTTGTCCACTCTTTCCACAGTAAGAAATGGGCTTGCTAAGACAGGTCTAGAAGAGGGTCCGTACACCTCTGAGATGTACTCAGGGAGAACCATGGGTATGGAAGGAGAGAGACAATGAGACTATCGGAGTGAATAATAGATGTTCAGGCGACTAGACAGCAAGAAGCTAATCAAATGTGTGAGGCAGCACTCCTTACCGGAAAGAGCTAGTTGGGTCATGGATATCTCTATGTTATCGTCTAGTCTATTTTTGTTTTTCCAAGTGATACTTTCTAATATTTTTTTCTTCACGACTGTTCACTGAGCATGTTGTGGATTATTTGATTGGTCATTTTTCCATAAATGATGGTTCAATGTAAAGCCAAATCAGAATAAAACTCAGTTTGGGGACTGTCACTGGAACCACCAAGAAAGAGCTTTTTTCCCTCTGAGTCATGAGGTTGCCACTCCAAGCAAAGTACTTCCCTAAGAATAAAGGCAATGCAGACAAATCCAGATCCATATATGGGAGAGAAATGGCATTCTGCTATCAGTTATTATGAGTGATACCCAAGAAAATTAGAGGCCATAGTTAAATTATAGATAAGTGAGTTAAAATGATCTGAGGTTGTATTTAGTAAAACTGAATATTGAATGATTTAGGTTGTTTTAAATATCTGGAAATTTTCTCCCTCTCCCTGAATTTTAAAATGCAAGTCACTAACTTCTCAGCCTTCGTTTTTAGAAAACTGACCTGCCTTCACCATCTCTTTTGGAAGTCCCTTTTTGTGGTCTGAGGACAAAACTATGTTCACACAAGTGGTACAGTACTCATATTAGACTAGGCAACCTTGGAAACAGAAAGGGGCCTGTGACATACCGTTCAAAGCCATGCCCCTGCTATGGTTTGTCTAGTTGTCCCCTGAAAGCCTCATGCAGTCATGGGGTGAACTTCTAGTTTGTGATTACCTCATGATCCACTGGGATTATGGGTGTGGGGGCTGCACCCAGCCTGGGGCGGAGAGCCTGCCTGCGACATAAGGGAGACAGACTCTGTTGCCATTGCTGCTGCTTCTCCTCCCCTTTGCTCTTGCTGTTTTGCTGCCATGTGCCACTCTACCTTGAAGCCAGCTGAGTATGGACTGAAACCTCCAGTAACTGAGCTAAATAAACCTTTTCTTCCTTCCTTTTGAGTGCCTGGTGTTTGTCCCAGCAATGGGAGAATAATGAAGACAGGCCAAGACAGGCCCAGATGAGCTTTGACCAGCATTTCCATCGTCTCCCAATATCCCATTAAGTGATGAACTCATCAGCAGATTAACGCATTGACAAGGTTGGAGGTCTCATGATACAATCATGTCTCAAGTTCCTACTGCTGAACATTGGTGCTTTGGGGATTGATCCTACAAATGTTTTGGGGAACACTGCATAAACCCTAACAAATACAAATATCCAGGGGCAAGGATCCTTTATACAGGGTTGGTGGGCATGCCAGTATGGAAAGTAGTGTGAAGGGTTTTTTGTTTTTGTTTTTTTTGCGGAACCGGGGATTGAACTCAGGCCCTTGCACTTGCCAGGGAAGCGCTTATTCCACTGAGCCATCTCCCCGGCCCCTGTATAGAGGTTTCTCAAAATGCTAAAAACAGAAGTCCCATGTAATGCAGCTATACCACTTCAGGTATCTATGAATAGTGAAGTCAGTATGTAAGAAATACCTGCAGGCCCATGTTTATTGCAGCAGTATTCATATTATGTAGGGTAAAGATCGGCCTGGGTGCCCATCATCAGATATGTGGATAAAGAAAATATACACACACACACACACACACACAATGGATTTACCCAGCCATAAGGAAGAGTAAAATCATGTCCATTGCAAGAAAATGGATGGAAGCAGAAGACAGTATAATCTGTACACTATGCGTTAACAAGGCAACACACTGCGTAGCCACAGGCTTCTGGTTCCCTCCAAGACGCTGCTGCTCCCGCAACCAAAGTAGCCATTCTGCGTGCGCTGCGCGCCAGACCCAGGCAGGCGGCTGGGTGCGGGGAGCGGGGAGCCTTATCAAGCGAGGCTGAAAGGGTGCACGCTAGCGAGGCAGGGGGGCAAAGGAGGGCTGGGCGCGCTGCGTGGGACGTATCCCGCGAGTCTCTACGGGCGGTACGGAGGCCGGGAGGGGTTTGTCAGCGCCGGTAGTTGGCCCAGAGCCTCACTCAGGGGCGCCCTCTAGCGCGTGCTTTTCGCTTAGCGGACACCTGGGTGCTTGTGGACCCAATTTTGGGTCGTTTGGCTGTCACTCGTTGAGGTTGGGTTTTGGGAAGCTATTGGGGGCGCATCTAAGGAGCCGTTTGACCGCCAGTGGCCTCTTTTTCTTGGTATTTTGTAAACCTTCATCGTTTCAAGAGCTCACAGTTATTCAGAGACGAGCGCGGTTTCCTGCCTGCTTCTCAATTTGTGGACTGGGAGACTGAGAGAAGATGGCAAAACTTTGGATCGTAACCGGCTTCCCAAGAGTTGGCACCACCCCCGTTATTTCCAGACGACAGTCATGAGCTGTGGAGTCTTCAGAGGAATTTGTTACAGTCTTGGGGGTGCAAAGAGAACCCCCACGCTCTAGGCTGTTTCTGGTTAAGCAAACTACAGAACAGTAATTGTAGGAAATTTATGCCCATTAGCCACCAGTGGGCATCACTGACACCCCTCACCACGTCTGAAGTAGTAATATATGAACTATCAACTGGTGGCTTAAGGTTTGATAGTGGAGTGGTGTGTTAGATGAAGGTCTTTCTGCATATGATATTAGGCCACCGGTCAGCTCAATAGGATGGGCTCAATTTAAGAGTTTGTTTGGAAACATGTTTTCATTATTAAGCTTCTCTTTTTGCTTTAAAGTGAAAATTCAACTTTTAAATGAATACCATGACTTAAATTTAAATATTTTAGCAAATATTTAGAAAGGAATGATGTTACATATTTAGAAAGGAAATCCATTCACTTCAGTTTATTGGGCTGAGAGATGGAAGAGAACAGCATTTTAAATATTTTGAGCACAAATAAGTTCTTATTATTGCTTCTATGATGTACTTTATTGTTCATATTAATTATACCCAGGTGGGTCACATTGCAGCGTATTCATACAATGCATATAGTAACTCTGATCATCTTCCCCATTGTTCCCCCTTTCCCTTTCCTCCTCCTCTTCATCGTCTCTAACAGTCTCCCTCATACTTTCTTATCTCTCTTTTCTTCCTGCTAGATTCATTATATGAGAAAGAATTGCATGAGTAGTCTCATGCAATATATGGCTTTCTGAGTGACTTATTTCACTTAACATATTCAACATCACTGGACATTAGAGATGCAAACTAAAACAACAGAGATTCTATCTTACTCCAGAAAGAATGGCCAACATGAAGAATTCGAATAATAACATGCTAGTAAAACCTCAGGAAAGTAAGGAAACTTCTGCATTTTTTGGTGGAAATGTAAACTGCATCCATTATGGAAATCAGTGTGGAGACTCCTCAAAAGACTAACACTAGAATGATCTGGGGAGATAGTTCAGTAGTCTATGTGCCTGCCTGGCAAGCGCAAGGACCCAGGCTTGATCCCTTGTACTGCATGCTGTGCAAGCCCTGAAATCCAGCGTGGTGGCACATTCCTGAATACCAGTGCTGGGGAGGCTGAGACAGGAGACTCACTACAAGTCTGAGCTGTGTAGTGAGACCCTGTACCAAATAAATAAATAAATAAATAAATAAATAAATAAATAAATAAAGTGTGTGTGTGTGTGTGTGTGTGTGTGTGTGTGTGTGTGTAACTGGGGATTGAA